GGCTGGCTGGGGGGCCCCACGCCTGCTCCTGCCTGCTCCTGGCAGAGACGCCTCCGGGAAGCCCACCTCGGAGGCCTGCAGGTCACAACCTGGCCGCAGGAGCCTCTGAGACCCGTCGCCCTGCTCCTGGCACAGGGAGCTTCCTTTAGCAGGTGTCCTGGACTTGAGCGACCATCTCCACGGCCCCTTCAGTGAACGCCACCCCAAAGGGCCGGCTTCGTGGGGGGTTGGCAGCCATCCTTAATCTCCTCTCTACGACTCTCTGTTTGCGGGACTTGTTGTGATGAGCATATGAAACACTACTACAGAACCAAACCTGCTTTGTAGGAACAACGTGACCTTACGCTCTATGGTCCAAACGGGGACACTGGGAGAGAAAGTGGCTGCAGTAATAACGACACCAGTGGGGAGGGGATGTGAGGGGGGAGGAGGGGGGGGTTAATGAGGGGGATGCAACATCTGTAATACTTTCAACAATAAAGATAAATTTTTTATTTTCGTTATTTTTAAAAAATATATTTTTATTGATTTCAGAGAGGAAGGGAGAGGGAGAGAGAGAGAAACATCAATGGGAGAGAGAATCATTGATCGGCTGCCTCCTGCACGCCCCACACTGGAGATGGAGCCGGGAACCCGGGCCCTGACTGGGAATCGAACCGTGACCTCCTGGTTCATAGGTCGACGCTCAACCACTGAGCCATGCTGGCTGGGCATAAAAATAGCTTAAAAAATTACACCAGGACAACATTTCTGCACAGGCTTCCCTGCTCACCCGAGTTATAAAAAATGTAAACACACACAAGGATTTCCCCTAATTTCTGCCCCTCGCATCCCCAGAGCCCGTCCCCTCCCCAAGGTCACCACTGCTAACAGATGGTAGCGTTTCCTCCCGACGGTTTCTCTAAGCGTTGTCTTATTTTACAGTCGGGGAGGAAAGATGAGTTATTTCCCAGAACAGACTCTCACATCCTTGCGGCCGGCCCTGCAGCAGGCCAGAAGCAGCCCAACTCCAGCCAGGTCCCGGGCCTGGCCCTGCAGCCGCTGGACCCTGGCCTCGGGTCCTGGCCCCAGACCCACGGCCAGAAGGCCCCCAGCCTTTGGTTACATCCAGCTCCACGGAAAACACCCCACCTCTCGGCTCCTTCCATCTCTTTCCAGAAATCCCCCCGTCCGTCCAAATCATGACGTCAAACTCCCTCCGGGCCTCGGGGATTAGGGAAGTTCCAGGGAGATGTAAACACAATTTGGAAAATTACAAGGAGGAAGATAGTCTTGGACCCCACCTCCGACGCCACCCGCGCCTCTTTCTCCTCGGGGTCTGGCAGCCGAGACTCAGAATCCCAGAAAGCCTCTGCTCCAGGCTCGTCTCAGCCGGGTCCTTGGGCCTGCAGGGGCCTGGGCCTGGGGGCACGGCTCTGCCATCCCCCCGCCCCCCAAAGCCTGCCTTCTCCACTCCACTCAGCCTGCCTGCAGGGCTCGGCTCCAACCTCCCTCCTCCAGGCAGGCCTCCCAGCTACTCTCTCTGCTCCCTCCTTAGACTCCAAACAGCCTGGCTTTGTCTCCCGAATCTGGGCTACTGTGAGGCTCATTCTCTTCCTCCTCCTCCTCCTCCTCCTCCGAGGCCCGAACTTTCCCCTGAGATGGGACAGACCTTTATCATGATAAACAAAGAATACGCATAAAGGGCAGCATTTCAAATGCCTACCAAGTGACAGACATGGCGACGGTGCTCCCAGGAATGTGATTTCATTCATGGTCTCAACAGGCTTAGGAAGTGGTATCACTGCAACCCCCATTTTACAGATGAGGATACTGAGGGTCAGGGAGGTGAAAGACCCTGCCCAAGGGCACGACTTAAAGTCAGTGGCAGAGCCCAGGTCTGGCTGCGGCTAAGGCCCAGGCTCTCAGACACCGCACCCCTGCATCCCCGATGCCCTCGGGGACAACTTGGCCGAGCCCCAGCCAGAGCCGCACCCAGCTCCCGCATCCCCTCTCAGGGTGAATCCCAGACTCAGACCCTGCCCGGAACACTGTGACTCACCCTGCTCTGTAGCTGTCCCCCACCCTCACCTGGAGCCTCCAAAAGGCGGGACCCCAGAACCCTCGTTGGCCAGAGGAGGGGGCAGGGGCCCTGAGTCCCGCAGCACCAGGCGGGTTGAGGGCCAGGCTGCCGCCCAGCGTTCTTCCCAGGGCCCCGTACGTGAGGCTCAGCCACCCCAGCTTTCAGGCTCCAAGCCCCCTCCTCACAGCTCCCAGGGCTCCCTCTGCCTTCCCCCTGCCGCCCTCTCATCTTCAGAGGAGCTGAGGGGGCTGTTAGCTGGGGTCGCCCCCCCTCCAGGAATTTCCCAGGGAAAGACCCCATGGGTTCCAACAGCTGCCAAGAGGCAACCATGAGAGGTGCCAGCTGCCCTCCCTCCCGCTCGGTCCCCAGGCCAGGGACACCGGCCTGCAGGCCCACAGCCTGGGCAGGCCCCACTGGGCACCCCGGGTGACCCCTTCACCACTCAAGGCCTGTTTCCCCACTGTAAGAGGTAAGTCTATTTTTACCCTGGCTCGAATACCTTAAGGTTCTGGGGCTTTCTCATCATTTGAGACCCGGTAGCCACCTCCAGTCTCCTTGGCCAATCTCCCCCTCACCCCATTCCATGGCCTGGAGCCCTGGGGCAGGGTTGGAGGGAAGGAGTGCACAGTCAGCCTTGACTCAGTTTGACCAGGAAGAGGGAGAGGTCTCAGGCCTGAAGACGATACCGATGGGCAAGGTGGACCCCACAGGAGGTTGGGACTGAGATGAGAGGGCAGAGAGAGGGTGGGTACTCATCCATTTAGAGAGAAATCAGCGGGCGAAGTCTTTAAAGTCATAGAAAAGGCACTGAACTTGGGGAGGGGCTCCTGCCACAGAGTCAGTCACCAGCCATGGCACAAATCGGTGTACCTCACTCTGCCTCAACGGGCCCCCGTCAGCCCCCCTGGCATACTGCACGTGCGCTGAATATTACCCACGCGAGCCCCGAACAAAACCCGTCATCTCCTTAAATCTCCCAGGACCCCGTGAGCAAGGTCTATTACAGTGATGGCGAACCTTTTGAGCTCGGCGTGTCAGCATTTTGAAAAACCCTAACTTAACTCTGATGCCGTGTCACATATAGAAATTTTTTGATATTTGCAACCATAGTAAAACAAAGACTTATATTTTTGATATTTATTTTATATATTTAAATGCCATTTAACAAAGAAAAATCAACCCAAAAAATGAGTTCGCGTGTCACCTCTGACACGCGTGTCATAAGTTCGCCATCACTGGTCTATTACTATCGTCCCCATTTCACAGATGAGAAAAGCGAGGCTCTCGGAGGTAAATGATTTGGCCAAGTGAGCAGCAGGACTTGCCTGCTGGAGGCCAGGTGCAGAGCCGATGCCAACCCCTGCAGCTGGTCCACAGACCAGGCCCGCACTGCCCCACAGCAGGAGGCCCCCTCCTTCAGCGCCCGAATGCCACCAGGAGGGCAGTTCCCAGCTCCCCGGCAGGATGTGGGCACGGCGCCCACCTGTTCTTGGCGGGGGAGGCTCCGCCAGCCTGGCCAGGAAGGCTGGACCACAGCTGCCACCCAGATGGGCAGGACATTCCATTTCCCACCACTGCCGCCAGGCCAAAGCGCCCGGCACACAGGTGCTGGGCCACCGTCCACCGCTCCCCTGACCTCAAAGCCACAGGCCACAGTGGCACAGTGCCCCAGAAGCCTGCCTTTAGGATGCCAGCTGCCTCTTCTCTCTGAAGTGGGGGGATCATCGCCCCTCATTTATTAAGCAGTCACGATGGGCCGACCATGTGCAAAGCAGAATGTGCCTGAGGTCACTGAGCCCTCGCAGCCACCCAATAAAGGAAGTAGTTTGGCTCGGCCAGTGTGGCTCAGTGGTTGAGCATCAACCATGCACCAAGAGGTCGCCAGGTCGATTCCGGTCAGGGCACATGATGGAGTTGGGGACTCGATCCCCAGTAGGGGGCGTGCAAGAGGCAGCCGATGATGTTGATGCTTCTCTCTTCAATATTTGTCTCTCCTGCTCCCTCTCCCTCCGTCTCTCTCTCTCCCTCCAATCAAAAAAAGAGGAAGTGATATGGTCAGCTGGGGGAAACTGAGGCTCAATGGCCTGACCAAACACAGATGATAAGTGATGGAGATGAGCCTGGAGCTCAGGTCTCAGGATGACAACGCCCAAGGCCAATGGCTGGCAGGCAAACGACAGGACCCGGCAGCATGTCAGCCTGGGCCCCACAGAAATAAGGCTCTGCTGAAAAGAAATCAGACAGGGGGCAAAGGACGATGCCCGCAGGAATGCCAAGTGCAACCACCCCCGGAGCAGCCTCTGCCCGCCCAGACCTACTGGCTAATCACTAAGACAGTGGCACTGAGCAGGCCTTTCTTCTCTCCCTCACACAACATCTCAGAGACCACATCCGAGCTCACCCTGCTGGTGAGCATCAGGATCGAGTCCAGGGGCTAAAGGCTGGGACCCTGGGTTCAGATCCCAGCTCTGCCACTTGCCAGCTGTGTGACCTTCGGCAAGTTACTT